GGCTGTGGTGGCCGGGAGCGGCCACTGCACTCCAGTCTGGGCGACAGAGTGAGACTCCATTTCAAAAAAAAAAGAAAATGGACATGATAACAGCTCCTTCCTTGCAGAGATGTGGTGATTACCCAGTTCCTGGCTCTTAGTAAGTGCCCAGCAAATGCTTCTTACATGTCTTGTTTTTAGTAAGGAGCCTTAATCCAACATGGTCTAGGCACACTGGTCTAGCTTACTCTGTGTGAGGAAAGAGACTTACAATAAAAGCAGAGAATAGTCCATTCTTCAGGCAAGCCTTCACAAGCTGCACCACCCTCCCTGAAACCTTAACCCCAGCACCTTAAGGCTGAGCGGTTTGAGCTCCCATACCTGCTCACACACAGACACTCTTTAGCTTGAGACATACATCTTGCTCACTGTGGTAGGACTTGCCTGCCAATCCTTGTCCTCTCCTCCTAATGCCTTCAAATACTCAAATAAGATTCCACCTTCTCCTTGTTTTATCAGTATTAGATAACTTAAGATACATAGGCCATCCAAGTCCCCAAACTCTGGAAATTAAAAGCCTCCCCTCTCAGTATATTGGAGAAAGAGGATTTCTGGTCAAGATGTCCTCCTTTGAGATGAGGTGGAGTGTAGACACAGCTCCGGACAGCTTACCTGGCCACTCAAGAATACCACAGACCGCTGGTAGCTCCAAAAATCCACTGGTAGCTCCAAAAATCTGTCTCCTCAAGAAATTTGTTTTGAGACAAGCCCTTGAATACAACAGTCACCAAAGGGGACTCCTTAGGGCCTAGAACAAGTTTACTAGAGGTCGTGAAAATTTCTCAGAGATGTGTGAACTCACCAGTAGCTGACTGAGAAGCTGTCTGGGACAGGCCCTTGAAAAAAGGGGTGCAAAGACCTCTGGTGACGCCTTCAGAGGTGTCACCCAGAATCTTGGACAAATTGTGAAAACCCCAGCATGTTGCTGCTTCAGCAAGTAACAAGAGATTCAGTGACAGTGGCTTCTTCCAAACCTGTATGGCAGCAGTAATTAAAATTAAGGTCATTTAGAAATCCAGAAACCAAAGCCATTTTGACTCTGGAGCAAATTTTAATTTGTTAATGGATCTTCCTGTTGAGGGCTGGGGGGAAAGATAGCAATTCACAATGGGTATGAGGCCAAAACAGGGCCACAGAAGACAGGAAGTAGCTGATAGCTCCTTAGTCTTTCTGCAACTGCAGCAAGGAACATCCAGGGATACAGATATTTTTAAAATATTTTTTAATCAGCTAATAGCAGATGAAGAGCTAACAATGCTGCCAAGATTCTGTTCATCCCAGTGGCCATTCAGAGCAAAGAGGCCAGGGTCAGATGCCGACTTGTGCCTCTGGCTCCCTGCTCTCTGAGCCTCTTCTGGAGAAACATAGGAAGAGACCCAGAGCCATCTCTTCCACAGGTCACTGACTGTAAGGACCTAGGAAACAGGACCAGGTGGAATTCTCTGTTCTCTGTGTCCATCCTAGGGAGGGCCTGAGAAGTGCTAATCTATTCATTTATTCCACACATGATTATGAACTGCCTAATCTATGCCATGGACACAACAAAGACTAAGACAGACTGCTTGAGTAAACCGAGGAAGTGATGCTTCAGAATTGTGTCATTAAACTTGCACATATGTGCTGCAAATGGTAAACTCAGGGTACCCCCAAGAAGGAGTCTTCAACTGGAGGACAGGTGGGTCAACAGAAGAGCTGCACCCCAGTAACATAAACCAAAGGCCACGCACAGTGTTCTGAGCACCCAGAGCTGCTGAGAGACTCTGTCCCACACAAGGTCTCAGGCAGAGATCTCCTCAGGACCAGTGCCAACATCATGAAGGGTGCTCTTTGGTAAAGGAGAAAATAAAAAATCTAATTTCTACATCTTATTTTTAGCCACAAGACAGGCAGAAGAGTGGTAAGACGGCACTCGACTGTAATCCTGACCACACTGAATGTGTGATTTAATCACTGTAAAAGCCTGTCCACAGGATCTGCTATCTTGCTGGGGACTAACTTAGGAAACTCTCATCTTATTCAAGTGACCAAGGATTCTCTAAAAGAGCCACTGCAAGCTACTTCTCGAGAAGCACAATTTCTAGGCATTTGTTTTGTCCTGCCTAGAAATTGAAAATTGAGCTCTCCTGCTTTTTTCCTTGAGATAATTTAAGCACAACTATGCCAGCTGAGGAGACGAGGGGGAAACTGCAACGCAGTATTCCCCCCCGCCCTCTACCAGAGGGACTGCCTTGGCTTGTCCAATGGACAGATATGTGCCACACACACACACCATACACATTCACACTCCACATATACACCCACCCACTCAACACATATACACACAGCATGCACTACACACACTACACCATACATATTCACATTCCACACATACACACATTCCACACATACACACACCCATTCAATACATATACATGCACACACTCCACACACCACACCATAAACACCACATACTCCACACACACATACACACTCACTCTACACATACACCCACTGAACACACATACACACCACACACTATACACGCACCTCATACACATATACACCCCATGCATCCACCTACCCAACACATATACCCGCACCAGACACTATACATCACACAATACAATACATACACCACACCACACACACACCATGCACACCACACAGACTCAGCCTTCATCCTTCACCTCCCAAAGTGCAGGTGCCTGTTGAGTGAGTTCTTTTAAGACATAACCTGTTTTCCCTAAAGGCCTTCAACAAAATCCAGTTGGCTTCAGTTGGCCACCTCAACCCAGAATTACTAGCTCTCTCCAAGAGGCAGGCATTGGAGGAGTTGCTGGACCCCAGAAATGAATGTTCACATCCCTTAAGAATGAACTGAGGCCCTCTATCTGGAGGAGTGGAGGCCAAGAAGAGTTTTAGCCTTGTTTTCCAGGGCCTGAAGGGCTGCTGCATGGTTAGACATACTCTGCCCATCACCAAGGGTGGACCCAGAACCAGCAGATGGGAGATTTAGGAAGAAGAAGGCTTGCTCTTGATTTTCACTAAAACCTGACTTTCACAGGATTAGAGGCCCTCCTTGGATGGAAATGGGCTCCCTGACACAGAAGGCATTTAAAAAGACATCAGACGGTCCCTTAGTGGGACACTGGAACAGTGAGACCAGCATCAGGTGGAAGGATGGGCTGGCATGACCTTTCTAATTGCTTCCAACCTTGAGAGTGTCTGACTCAACAGAATGAACACAAAATCACCAGAGACCTCCTGGTTACCTGCCTGCAGGGCTCTCCTCTGGGCCTAAAAATAAGATTCCCAGAGTTCTGATCCAAATTAGATCCTTAATAGCGTGCCGCCGTGTATAAATATATCTCTTTGCGGGCCAGTTAATATAATTATTTTAATCAGCTACACTCCCTAGAAGGACCGCCAGCTCCCTACTCTGCATGGCTATGTTCTAAACAGGCTCACTCCTCCTTGACCCCACCCAGGGTTCGTCCTTGGAGCGGTTATGAGAATAAGGGTGGGGTGTGGGCACGGACAGTCCCTCTCTCTAAGGTCCCTGGGACATTCATTCCATTCTGGGGTACTCCATTCTCTCCTGATCATTCACTAGGACTTCCAAGAGAAGATGGGGTGAAGACACAAATGTATATAAGGACAAGACAGACAGTAAAAATGTGTAAATAAGACACAGGATAATGTGAGAGGGAGTGCTATGAGTTGAACTGTGTACCCCTCAAAATCCATATGGTGAAGTCCTAATCCCCGGGACCTCAAAACGTGGTTATGTTTAGAGACGGGGTCTTCAAAAAGGTGATTAAGTTAAAATGAGGCCATTAGGGTAGGCCCTGGTCCAATATGATAGGTGTCCTTATAAGAAGAGAAGATTAAGACACAGATGTGTACAGAGAAAAGACCATGTGAAGACATAGGAAGAGAAGGTATCATCTACAAGCCAAAGAGAGAGGCCTCAGAATAAACCAATCTTGCTGGTACCTTGATCTGAGACTTACAGCCTCTAGAATGGTGAGAAAGTAAATTTCTATTGTGTCAGCCACCCAGTGGGTGGCACTATGTCATAGCAGCCTAAGCAAACTCACACAGAGTACAGTGCATGTCTTATCCAAAGGCTTTAAATTTGTTTTATCACTCTCTCTTAAAGACTGAACCAGGTAAATAAAACAGAGCCCTGGACTTCTCTGTCATCTGTGTGTGACATTGGGAGGTCCAAAGAGAGAAAAGAATTGGGGCATAGGGGAAAGGGCATTGGCTGGGTCAGGAGAGCTGGTGGATTCATCCCAGGCTACCTTAGCAAGCTACATGGTCTTGCATGGTCTTGAGAACTACTCAACCATCCTGATCCCCATCCCATCATCAATTAACTGAAATATTTGGCCCAAATGATCTCTAAAAGATCTTCCAGCATTAAAGTGTTCCTTCCAAGTCTTAACACCTGAGGACCCTGGGTAGCAAGGAGCAGCTTTGGGACATGAGCCCAGAAGGGTGAAGCCCTGAAGAACAGAGTGAGATGGCATCAGGAGAAGCACATAGAGGTGTGGATGACACCAGTGGGCATGGGGCCGGGGGGGGGGCGCGGGGCGGAGCAGGGAGGAAGGTGCTTGGCTGTTCCTTAAACTCCTTGACTTGCTAACTGTCTGGTCTTGTCTCCCTTGCTCCCCACCTGTAAATAAGACAACAGGAGTGAACATGTTATGTACAATTTAAACACCCTATATCGGATTGCCAAGCATGCTCGCCATTATGAGAGTTGGATGAAAAGAAAGGGTGGATGCCTAGCAGCTTCTCAGGACTGATGTCTACATCTAATAGAATCCCCAAAAGCTAACTCTCCTGCAAGGTGGGATGAGTCTTCAGAGTTGGGGCTGGAGTGCCTATCTTCTCTCCATCACAAACCTAGGCACCAAATTGCTATACCGTCCTAAAGATGCTTTGGAACTGTGCTTCTGTACTGGATGAGGCAGTGAGGAAATTGTAATGTGCCTTTTCCAAAGTGAAATTAAGATCCTTCTGCATGCCCAGGGTCTTGTACTTTACAAAGAGCTTTCACTGACACTAACTCCAAGGAATTATTATCATTCCCATTGTACAGATGAAGAAACCAAGCCCAGGGGAAGTTAAGCAAGACAATGTGGCAGAGTAGAAAGAAACCCAGGGCTTGGGCTCTTTTCTTGACCTTGAACAAAGTCACTTAATATCTTGTTATCAAATTGCTTGCAAATGAAGTCCTGTAGCTAAGCACCTGCAGGGTCAAAACATGATCTGAGGGCTTTAACCCAGAACACACCATGACTATATCTCATAGATTAAAATAATCTCAGGACTGGAAGGGTCTTTGGCAACAACAGATCTGATTCCCCTGAATTTTTGGCAAGGAAACTGAGTTCCAAAGAATTCCTTGTTCAGAGTCCCACAACAAGGCTCTGGCCGGGTCAAAGCCAGAGTCAAGGGTTTAAGTACATAGAACACCCTGTATGGTTGATTTGACTTGAACATCTTCCTCTTTAAAAATGCACAAGCCACAGAGAGAAAGGTCTTCCAGGGCGGCTGTATTGGGTTCCTTGGAGAAATTTCTACCCCATCCTTACTCCAGGCCGCATGCTACTGGCCTCCTGCGGTGACTTTGAACAGGAGAGCAAATGAGTCAAGAGCTCCTCTCAGAGGATAAGGCTGCTGGGAGCAGCTAAGAGGGCTGGAATTAGAAATTCTAATTATTAGAACTCTCGGAATGCACCAAAGACAATTTATAATTAGTACATGTCAAAAGGCCATCCCCAAAGGGGGTGCATTATAAATCAGAAAACAAAGATGGCCCCAGAAAGGAAAGCTGGACTGTTTGGTCTCCATCCTCTCCTGCCATCCCTAAAGCCAATTTACCTCCCACTCCTATGCACCCTACTCCCTCCTATACTGGTCTCTTTCCTGCTGTATTGCCCTACACAGACGCAGCATGGGGGCTTCCGCTCCCCAAGCCCTTCTCCCTCCACTGCTCAGGCAGGGCCACTGTCCTGGGAGGCCTTGGCACAGGGATACCTCTATTCAGGGACCATGTAGCTCTAACCCCAGGTCTTGAGCTGGTCAGAGGCTTTTGACTCCTGCTGTCACCGGCTGCAAATAAGGATTTAATGACTAGCCTTTTTGTGGGAAAGAAAATGTCTTAGGTGGACTGATAATGTCATTATCTGCTACTCAGGTATGTGTGCCCAGGGCAGCCTCACAGACAGAAGCCTGCTCTTATGATTAAAGTGCAGGGCACAATCCCAGTGCTGACTGGAAAGGGCCAGCAGGGAAGGAGGAGGAAGCACGTCCTTGTCTCTTACTTAAATGAATGAATGAATGAATGGATCTTCTGCTGACTTATATGCCATAAATATTTTCTTGAGTACTTCCTGTATGTTAGTCATAGCACTTGAAATTGGAAAGAAAAAGCATTCAAAGACACAGAAATAAACAAGGCATGGCCTCACTCTCTACGAATTCACAGTAGCACAAACTTGACAGGTGAAAAGATAAATAAATAAAGAAGACCACCAAGAGAACTGGCATCTGGATCAGGACACCTGGTTTCTTCATTGTGTGACTTGCCTCCTGAAGGTCATTTGTCTTCCTGGAGCTTCCATCATCTAGGCCATGCAGATACTACCAACCTTATGGATCCCACAGGTGTTGCTATGGAAAACACATGATAAAACACAGGGACAAGGTCTCTGAGAAGTGCCAGCAAAGTAACTCCTTTTCATAACATGAACCAATGGAGAGTCTGCTGGGTGATAGGAAAACGGATACTGTGTTTTTCCTCACTCACCAGTCTTATTCAAGAGGGCACCCAGTTCCTTGGACAAAGACCCCTAGAGTAGAGAAAGGCAATGTATTAGGCTGCCATATGTCTGTGTTTACCAAGGAACCTTTTAGATGGTGACATATTCCCATATGGTATTGCCCAAAGGAGAAAGAATGTATCTATTCCTAGGGATGACAAGGTTTTACTCCAGGAGCAAATGAATTCCATTTGGTAATGACTACTTGGAACACTTGTGTTAAGAAAGATTCTGAGCTTGCATCTTGGCTCAGCCAGAACAAGTGTCCTGATGAAATAAGGATGTCTGTTATGAATAACAAGTAGAGAAGTAGCACTTTATCATTTGTGACCTAAGGAGATGATGCTCCCACTCAACCACACTCCTTTTTGTACACCTTTAGGGCTATATTCTCCGGTCATTCAAAGATGAGCGGAGTTCAATCCTCTGAACCCAATTCCTTCAGTGTGAATTGTTAAAATTACTTGAGCCAGCAAGGTCAAAGACATATTCCCCAGCAAGAAACTTACTATTTTGGGGAAATTAGCTAGTTCTCCAGTCCTTGTTTAAAGGTGCTAGATGGTATCAATCGTGTTATTTATAAACTGAGAACAATCCTTATAAATTGGGGTATTATTATCTAGGGTCTATGGATCCTGGGCACTGCCACACAAAATCACCTGGTTAAAGTACCCTGCAGGTACCAGATACCCTCTGGCCTTTAATTCTGTGGCATTTTTTAAAAAGTCTTTTCTACTTTCTGCCTTTACTATTTCTTAGAACAATACATTCTCTGAGTTTATTATGGGCTTTATGCCATAAGAATTCCTCCCATTTGTCCAAGATTTATCTGCTTGAGTTTTAAAGGGGATGTCTCTCTCTTTCTCTCTCTCTCTCTCTTTTGAATCAGAGTCTGACTCTGTTGCCCAGGCTGGAGTGCAGTGGCATGCTCATGGTCACCACAGCCTTGACCTGCTGGGCTCAGGTGATCCTTCCACCTCAGCCTTCCAATTAGCTGGAACCACAGGCGCACGGCACCATACACGGCTAATTGTTTTATTTATTTTAGAGACAAGGTCTTGCCAAGTTTTCCAGGCTGGGGCTGGTCTCGAACCCCTGAACTTAGGCAATCCTCTCACTTCTACGTCCCAAAGTACTGGGATTACATGTGTGAGTCACCACGCCCAGCGGATCTCTCTCTTAACGTGTCTGAAATGTGTTAGAGTCTGTACTCCCTTAATAACTCTGCTTACAATTTTATAAAACTTTATTACATCTGTGCTAATCCAGCAGAGCTGGGTTACAGTCAACCCCTGAACTACTTATGAAAAAGAAGGACTGAGCAAATGAAAACTCTGATCAAGCCTGAGAAGAGAAGAGAACAGACTGTGTCCAAACCCATCAACAACATCATCTGTGCACCAGGAACACTCCAAACACAAACAGGCCGCGTGAGTCATAAGCATAGATGGATCCTGGGGTGATCTTACATTTGCAGTGAGAACCACAGACTGCTGGAGACAGGAAGCAGCGCAGAAACCATCTAGTGACTACAGAGTAAAAACTGAGGCCCAGAACCATTAACCTGCCCACTACAAGCCATAGATAGTTACTATGGATAACAGCATCACAACACTGTGCATGTTAAGTATTTCATACATGTGCCTGTTTGCTATTTCGGATGGCTTCCTCCTAGGAATAAGTCTTCTTCCCATACCATTCACAGTGCCAAACTGTGCATCCATAAGCCTGTTTCCTCTAAGAGCTAAAAGCACATTGTCTTACACATGGGAGATACTCAAAGTTTGTTAAATAAATGAACAAATGAGATAATGTATAAACCTCTGCAGAAAGACATTCAGTAAAAATGCTATTTATAATTGCAAAAAAGAAGAAAATCTAAAGGGTAAATATAAAGAAAAGAGGTGAGTACCCATATGATATCAGTCACTTTAAAAATATGCCTATAGAGTTCCAATGACACTTGGAAATACTGATAATATGACTTTAAGGAGAAAAGCAGAATACTAAATTGCACATACTCTGGGATCCTGTCATTAGCAAAAAAAATGTACAGTAATATCGTTGGGAGAAAAATAAAACAAAACATGAATAGTAGTAGATGTTTCTGCTGTGATTATGGGAGGTTTTATTTCTGCTTCTTTGCACTTTGCTGTTTTTTGCAGATAATTTACAATGCGCCCATAGGATTTTCATAAGCAGTGGGAGAGTATTAAGAAATAGAAAAGAATATCCACAGGTAATATTCATCCTTGTTGGAATTTGGAAAGAGACAGAGATCGTTTATGCCTTTTCTCATAGAGAAACTGATGAAACAAAGAGAAGAGACACTGACCAAGGAGACAGACATTAGTTCTCTGGTGCTGGGGGGCCAGCCCAGTGCTATGCAAACAGTAGATATGTGATAAAATCCACTCAAACCACAGTGGGAGGGGGCAGGAGGCATTCAGTCTTCCTCTTCACACAGTCTCCATCATTACCCTATCCAAAAGATGGGCAAGACAAGGCCAGAGTCAGTCTCCACCTCCAGAGCCTCCCCAAAGACCCTCTGATCCCTGCAGCCCATGACAACACATTAACTCTGATTGTGAGGATTTTCCCTTGGCCAGTTAATTTGCTATGTCTTTCATACACATGGTCCCATTAAATTCTTATCATGTCTCTATGAGGTAAGTATTACTATGCCCATTTGAGAGCTATGGAGACCAAGACTTAGACAGGCAAAGTCAGGTAGCCAAGGTGCCATTGTTCTAACTGAACCCCAGGAGCCTACACGCTTATCCCAGAGCCCCAGCTGGTCATTCCTCCCTCTAGGTCTTTGCAGCACTAAGAAGATACTGCTTTGTGACATTTTCTGAATTGTTCCCTATAGGTCTTGTCTTTCAGGCCAGGACAAGTTGTCTGACCTTTCATGTGCATCTGTCTCTCTTGCTTCCTTCAGTTGGACTGTGAGTCCCTTAGGTGGAAGAGGGAGATGGTCCTTGCCTTATAATGTCTTATACCACCTATACAGCCAAGCCTAGAGATTTCTGCACTACTTGACACTGCAGATTTCAGGAAATACTTGCTCATCGATTGACGGATTGAAAAAGTTAAACAGGAGAATGGTCCCGTGGGCATCTTGGTATGCTACAAAGGCAGAAGTTGGATGCATCTCCTTCAGGACCCATTGACACTGCCAACTAGGACACCAGTATGTGTCAACTGTGGCATTGGCATTTGTCTCCTGCATCCCTGAGCCACCAGCCAATAAATCGCAGGGCACTCACACATCAGGATGTGTCCCTCACTTGCCACACACCAGTGACAGGGAAGGGCTGGCCCTGCCCGCCTCCCATCTGGCTGCAAGGATCCAGTTCCAGTTGCTGACCTGTGGTTGAGGCTGGCACAGTGACCCAGAGCTCCAGCAGGCAAATCCCAGTCATAAAACTCTGATTTAAACCAACCACGTGTTGGACCCCCGCACTTCCTCCTAAATTGGAGCAGAGCTGATCTTCTGACTGAGCCAAAGCCAGTCAAATGGAGACATGCTTACTTTTACTATACCATGAAAGCACTCCAGGCAAAAAAATAAAGCCATTTCCCTGTCTTGGAGCAGAGATTTCAGCAAATGCAAGCATGAGGAAGAAGACGTGTTATTAATAATGATATCTTTTAAGCCAAAACTTACCTAGAAAATGCTGCTTATTTGGAGAAGGGGCCATGGCTCCCTTCTCTGAATTCTTTTGAAACCACAGGAACTGCTGCAGGCTCCTCCAAGGTGCTAGAGCCACAGCCTGTCCAGAACAAGTCTCTCCTTCCTAAAAAGTCCTCTTTAATAACCTTATCCATAACAATCCCAACTTTTATAAACTTTTTCTTTCTCTGGACATGTTCTTCTCCAATGAAAGTGTATTCTCCCTAAGGGCAGGGACCAAGAGCTTATACTTTCTGCATCTGACTAAAGAATGGCCCCAACTGCCTTGAATTAATGAATAAATGAACAAGTGAACTTACTGATGAACTACTCAGTTAATAATTCCAAGGAACAGCCTACAGCAACTCACACACATTCACCCTCCTCCAAAATCATACCTTTTCAAATCCAAGGAGATGCTCAAGTCCATAGTGCTATTTTTAAAATAAAGTAATAATATTAAAAATTTCTTAGACCTTATTAGGCGCCAGGCACTAGGTTTTTGATACAAATCTCACATATTAATCTTATAAGTGAGATGGTATTGTTAATATTATTCTCACTTTACAGGTAAGAAAAATGAAGATCAAAAGGCTATTCAAAACTGAAATATAGATAGTGGGTGATGAAATATGAACCAAATGGTCCTATGGGACTCAGGATCAGACCCCTGGCACAAAGCAATTGCCCTGAGTCGCCTTTAGCTAAAGTGCTAGGGAGACAAGTCCCATCTTTCAATTTTATTTAATCAAAGCAAATAATTCATAAGAATCTGCAAGCATTCATTCATCAGGCAGATTAAATTTTTGATAGCCCTGCAGTTTAATTTTTTATGGCTCAGTGATTGGAGGGAACTGCTCCCAGGGAGGCTACTCTGTCCCTGGGTCAGAGCAGCAGCTGGCTGAGGAGGCCAGAAGCCTAGGCTCATCGGGGCTCTGCTCAATTCTCAGGCATCTGCCCTGACTACGATGAGCTGGTCATGCTGGATCCCAGGGCTAAAGGTCACAGATGCTGTTTTCTTTTTTTTTTTTTTTTTGAGTTGGAGTCTCACTCAGTCACCCAGACTGGAGTACAGTGGCACGCTTCCGGCCACCGCAGCCTCGACCTGCTGGGCTCCGGCGATCCTTCCACCTCAGTTTTCCAAGTAGCTAGAACTACAAGTGCGTGCTACCACGCCTGGCTAATTTTTTTGATTTATTGTAGAAATGAGGTCTCGCCAAGTTACCCAGGTGGGTCTCGAACCCGCGGACTCAGGCAATCCACTCACCTCAGCCTCCCAAAGCACGGGATTACAGGCTGAGCCACCGAGCCTGGACGATGCTGTTTTCTAAGTCCTTAAAGAGAATCTACAAAAAGGAAACAGGGGTTGAAGGGACATCAGGTTGTAATCATCACAAGATAGGGGAGAAACCCAAGTAAAACACATACCTAGGTCCCAGGAAAAGGAGGCAGCCTCCTCCTCCACCTCCTGTCCCTTTCCCAGTCACCAAACCACAGTGGTGGCAAAACTCGTGGACAAATTTGTGACACAGTAAAAGGGCAAGATCATCCCATCCATCTCTCTGCGAACTAATAGCACCACAGGGCCACTCAGGACCGTTCACCCACCCCTTCCAGCAATACATTGCCCTCACAGTCGTGACGTCCTCCTTACAGTTCACTGAATCCCTCACGAGGTTCAGGGGTCTACAGAGAAACAAGAAGAAATGGAGGCCAAGAGCCCTTCACAGCCTCAGTCTGCATTCTCTGGGCTAGAGAAGATGTCTTTCCAAGTGCTTTTATTGTCTTCAAAACAAAATCCCAGCAGTTTTTGTCTCTGCTACACCAAAATGCTCAAATGTCATGCAGACTGCTTTCAATCTCAGAACTACCCTGACGCAAGGCCATACAAGAGTCCCCCTCGCTCTCTCCTTCCCTCCTTTCCTTTCTCCTTCCTTACTTTCTTTCCCCCTTCTTTCTCTCTTGTCTCTCTCTCTGTCTCTCTCTCTCTCTCTCTCACACACACAAACACACACACACCCACACACACACCCCTACACACACCCCTATTCTTCTGTGCCTACCACAGAAGAACTAATATCTAAGAATTTGACTGGTATCCAGTCAATATCCAACCAATTAATTTGTTCAAGGGTTTAGAGTGGCCAGGAGAGGAGACTTTTCAGTCCCACAGCCAGGAGAGACTTCTGTTTTAATTTATTTTTAATTGGCAGCGCCACTAACAGCATATCAGAAACCTCTCCACCTAAACCCTTCTCCTCTCCTCCATTCCCTTCAATTCATGTAGGGAAAGGACAAGGGCACTTTGCTGGGAAGGTAGAGAAACACCACAGCAGAGCCCAGTTCATTTTGGATGCTGTCCTGTTCATCGTCAGCCTGATGGGGAGTGATGGTGTCCCAAGCTTTCACTCCCGGCAACCGCAGCCTCGACCTGCTGGGCTCCGGCGATGCATGTGCAGCTCACCGGGGCAAGTGATAGGAAGGAAAGCCTTGCACCTCTCCTCCCAGAGGTGGTGAACACGGGGTGAAGAGGCTCTCTTCCTGAGACCTCCCAGCTCTATCTCTGCTCTGCAGATACCTCACTGGGCCTCGGTGCTCTCAGGGGAGGCCTGCAGCCTTCCAGTAGCCCCTGCTGGCTGGCTCTGGGCCTCTCTGGTGATGGATATGTGGCCGTCGGACAGTGCTGTGGAGTTAATGGGAGTGTGTGGGAAAGGAAAAGCTAGTGGCCTGTCTTCCTCATTTTAGAATCTGGTGCAAGGACGAGCAAAGTATATCTCCACCCTGGGACAATTCATGTTGCAAAAACAGCCCTGGAGACACTGAAGGGGAGGAGGCAATTTATATGACATCTTGGCACCACCATCCAAGCAATTATCATAACAACAAAAGAACACAATGAACAGTCACTCCCTCTTCTCATTCAGGAAACCAGACGGAATGTTTGTGAGTTGCAGGTGCCATTATAATAAGGAATCAACATCAAACCACAGGGAAAGTAAACTGAGGCCAGGATCTGGCCTAAGAAGACCAGTGTGGGAAGGCACAGAAATGACGTGCAGCAAAAACAATGTGATCCAGGGAACAAAAAAAGCCCTCTGTGACCCAGCCTGCAGGTCAGACATGGTGGGATTTCTGTCTTTCTTTTTTCTCCTCTTTCATTTACAATTTGGGTGGAGGGAAGGTAGTTTCCAGAAAGACAAAGTAGGAGCCACCTCAGTAAATAACTCTCCAGAAATGTCTACATTTGATTGGCATTTTACAGAGTAAAAAGCGTTGTAGACATCTCCTCAAATTTGACCCTGTAAGGTGGGTGTTGTCATCCATATTTTAGAAACAAGAAGACTGACTTGCCTAAGGTCACAGAGCTACTGAGAGAAGGAACTGGGAGATCAGAAGTTTCTGTGCCTTTTTCTTATAGAGGTTGCCACCCCCATCATAATCCAATTAATGATAAAAATAATAACTGAGGCTAGATGTGGGGCACCTCCTATGTGCTCTGCATGGTGCTAAGCACATTACATCAGTTATCTCCTATTTTAATCCTCATACTCACATTGGGAGAGAGATGTTATGACCCTTATTTGTCAGATGAGGAAATCAAGGTTCAGGGCCATTAGTCATTTGTCCTAGACCACAGAAGCAGCAGGGACAGAAGTAGGACTCAAACTCTGTGCTCCTCCAGTGTATCTCAGTGGTTTTCAATCTTGCCCATCATCAGAATCAACTGGAAGAATGGTTCAAACAAGGAATGCTGGGTCCCACCCCAGAGTCACTTAGTCAGTGGGTCTAAAATGGAGGCTAAGAACCTGCATTGCCCATAAGGTCCCAGGTGATGCGCACGCTGCTGGCACGAGAACCCCACTTTGAGAATCTCTGCTCTATTTAACTCGCCTCCTGTCACCCACTAGCTAATCTGAACACCCTGTTAGGTGGTGGGACAAGATCGCCTGTCTGTAGGAAACTCCCTCTTTGGTGCACAAAACCACTCCCTCAAATAGAGCACACACCATCCACAGACAATTGAGCACCAACTTCATTTAACATTAACTTAGGGATGCTCTATGCCAATTTACTCACTCTCTTATTCTTCTGGACCTCTCCTGCTGACACCCATCTGCTGGCCAAGTCACTTCATTATCACTGAAATACTTCTTTGGAAACATGGAGACCCTTCTGAATGAGCAGCCCCCACCAGTGTACACCCCCATGCGTGTATTTGCACGTCTGTCATGTGCTAAACTGCTAATAATGCATTCATGATAAAACGTACACAGAAAGATTCATTTAAAAGGATGATAAATACAAACAGAAATGGATGTCTCTTTCTTCCATATTCCATAGTTTGTGTATCTCACCTTTTGTGCTGGTCTAGTCAGATCCAATTCTAGACTCTGACGATGAGAACTTGTCAGTTGCCCCTTCACCACTGCGGGCTGGCAGGGCATGCTTGAAGAATTGCTATGTTCTGTGATTTTGGAAAAGTGATTTCCTTTTTGTTAACTATAAGCCCCTAGAGGGCACATGCTACCCCTCCAAGAGTTACCATATAAGCACCCAGTCCAGCACGAATGTTCTGTAAGGAAGGATCATTCAGCCAAAGCTTTTTGACTGTGAGGGTTCTTTCTCCAAAAGAGGATGAGAAGCATCTAGGTACCCAGAGAGAAAACAGCAGCTGTCTGTAAAAGCTTTCCATGCCAACAGCAGAGAGCAGAAGACTGAGCTCTCACTACTACAGCCGTGGGAGGAGAGAGAACCAGATCAGGGTGAGAGAGCAGGCCCTGGGATCTCCCTCCACCAGTAGCCAAGGGTGAAACTTGGACCACGTGATGTCCCCTGGGCACCAGGGTCCTGGCCTGTCAAATGACATATAGGGTGACTATATCTGCACTGTGGGAGTCTCCCAGGATGCCAGATTTTAGTGCTAAAACTAGGACAGTCCAGAGCAAACCAGGGTGGTTTGTCACCCTAGGTGTGGACCAGGTATCCAGCTCTGGGTGATTCTGAATGTTTATCAGTCCCAACCTAACCTATGCTATAAGGTGTCCTAGGAGAGCAGGGGGGAGATTGAAGCCAGACCCTGCTCTCAAGGGCATTGCAATCCCACCAAGGAAGAGATAGCAATAAGTCAAGCCAAGTTGAACATCAGTATTAGGTCAAAACAGAAGCTGGAAAGAGAGCGTAATGTAGGCTGCAGTCGCCAGGACAGACCCTATGGAAGAAGCTAGGGTGCAGGGGGAAGCAGACTGAGCACACGTCCACCTCACCTCATCTCCCTTCCAGCCCTCCCCACCAACAATTAGAGCAGGACTGCAGAGAGTGAACCCAGGCTCTGGAATCTTCCAGTTTGATCCAACTCTGATGCTACCTTTTTTCTTTCAGAGTGACCTGAAGACAATTACTCAAATTCCACAGCCTAGGTATTGTTTTCTTTAAAACAGGGCCAATTATACCCCACTACCCAGGGTTGTTCAAAAGATTAAGTGAAGTAATGCATGCAAAATGCTTTGCAATTGTGCCTGAAAGCTCATGCTCTATAAACATTGACTATTCTTAACCTCTCTTGACCCTTTTCAATCTGTTCATGAATCTAAGGTATTTCTAAAGAACAGTAAGCTCTCGTGAGCTCTTCTGAATATTTTTTGTTATTAATGATGGATACAGCAGACTTAGTTCTGCTCAGATCTGTCTCTTCTGAAGCCAGGAGCATAAGAGTGAGAGTGTATAGTGAAAAAGTCACAGGGAAGCCAGCCCTGGCCCCGGGCAAAGACCAAGTGTTTCTCCTGGCCCTATTCAGAATAAGGAGCAGCTTTTTCTTCCTCAGTTTCCAGTTTTAGCTCATAGCCCTAAACAGTCAAGTCATGAAGGGGCTTCCCTCTCTCCCCAGTTCCCCAAGTTCTGCAGAAAGAAAGGTCCATAGGCCCCCTCCTCCTGCTGCGAGGGTGTGTCACCTCAGGCCATGACAAGTCCCCAGCTAAGCATCAGCTCAGGGCCACTTACTTCTCTTAATGATAAGCTTTCTAAGGGCATGGCAAGTTTCAAGAATCCCTGCAGGTGACATGCCAGCAGCGTGCCCCATAAACTCAGGCAGCGTCAATGGCACTAAGGACCAGGGAAGGTACCCTCTGGCTTAATTTGGTCTCCATCCAGCTCAGCCCTAGAACTAGGCACACATAATAGAATCCAAATCAGTAAACTCCCACATACAATTGGCCCTGAAATTCCATTAGGCATCCACTTCTTTGTACTAACAGTTTGTCTGTGGGCAATATGTTTTTTGTTGTTGCTGTGGCCTGTTATATCCCCAGAACTGAAACACACTTAAAGGAAGAAGGCCAAGATTTACCTCAGCCCCTGCCCTTAGGTGACCGGGGGTGACATGCCACACAAAAATGCAGTACACAAAGAGAGAGTGGCTCACTTTCAAAGGTATTTCCCTACCATGGCCCCTTTTCCCACACTCCCATGGCACCTTCAACATAATAACCCAGTAAAAAGCAGTCAGATTGAGTGGGATTTTTTTTTTCTTTTTTTGAGTCAGGGTCTCACTCTGTCACCCAGGCTGGAGCACAGTGGTGAGATCATGGCTCAGCAGTTTCAACCTCCTGGGCTCAGGCAATCCTTCTGCCTCAGCCTTCCAAGTAGCTGAAAATACAGGCAGATGCCACCACGCCCTGAATTTTTTGATATTTTTTCGAGCTGACATCTTGCTATGTTGCCCAGACTGGTCTCAAACTCCCGGGCTCAAGCAATCCTCTTGCATTGGCCTCCCAAAGTGCTGGGATTATAGGAATGAGCCATCACACCCAGTGAGATTATTTTTAATGTGAAGTTCTCTCATGGTATTGTGAGTTCTTCAAGGTCATTTGCATCTTCTTATCCCAAAAATTTGGTGCACAAGACATAGTAGGTGGTAAGAGAAGACATCTTAAATTTGTGAGTTAATGAATATTTTAATAAAAGTAAAATTGAGGAGCAAAACATTTTGAGAAGGGCAATAATTTAAGCCAGTGGTGCTCAAAGTGTGGCCCTATATCAGCCACATCACCAGGAAATTTACAAGAAATACAAAGTCTTGGTCCCCACTCCAGACCTCTGGGGTCAGAAATCCCAAGGATGGGCTGGTGTTGTAAGTTTTAATACAGCTTCCAGGTGACGCAGATGCCCACTCAATTTTGAGAACCAGTGACTTCAGCCTTCATCATCAGACACCTTCTGCAGATGGGGTAACTGTGCTCGACTCTTCCACACACTTGCTCAACTTATACCTATTAAAAAGCACCCACACAGCAAAGGCCCCGTGGAGCCAGCCTCAGTCACTAGAGGGCTCATGGATGTTCATAGGATGGCAGGCAACATGGTGCATCCCCCAAGCAGTACCCCTGATGACCTGCAAAGGCTGTTCTGAGTCGACAGGAAGAAAGGCCACCAAGCTGGGGCCATGACCAGCTGCCTATCCTTCAAGAAGAGCTGTGGGAATGACTTTTGCCAGGAGGAAGCTGCTCTGGGGAGAGAAGATGGTATCCTGACACCCAGAAGCAACAGCTTGGGCCGTGGGTGGGGAGGCGGAAGGCATGCGGCAGGGCAGCAGCCACCCACTCCATGCCATTGGCTGTCAGTTCCTGAGCACTGACTTCTCTGGAGCCTAGTGTCTCCAGAGGGTGCAGGATAGGAGAAGGCAAGAGGGAAGTGGCTGGATCAGCATCTGCTTCTCTCCTGGCCTGTTGACGGTCTCCATGTCTAGGCCTGGGGCTGGGGTCAGATGAGTTGGCAGGGAGCAGAGTGCCAACTCAGAGGCAGCTCTGTGTGTGCATCACCCTGTCTTGTCCTCTTCCCTTGGACTAGGAGCAGCTGCCCAGTTCTGGACCTGAGACAGGCTCAGAGCCCAGGGACCATGAGAGAACAGCACCTCAGTCGTGAAAGGTACCACGGTCAGGTACTCCTCGGGCGGGGTGGCTATGTTCTCTGGAAGCCTATGGGAGTAAAGACGATACTCTGCTTCTCGTTCAGGGGCGATGTTGCCACAACTTCCCCTAGACCTGGTGTTCCAGGAACATAGGTCACTTGCTGACACTTCACTTAAACTATTCTCCAGTTATAAAAAGGGTTCAGCCGACCTCTCAGCTTACAGGCCCTTTAACCCAGTGTCGAAGGTCAGCCCTTCCCAAGCATCCACAGGAGCTAGGGATGCCTGCTTGACTCTCGTGGTTCACCCACCTATTCCCACTTTCCTCTTTCAGGTAAGAAGGACCTGTGAGTGATGCTGGGATCCTCATACAGGGTTGGGTGACCCCAGGGCCTGCCTGTGATCTCAGAGCAGTGGGTAGAGATAATAGGGCTTTCAGACAAAAGACAGGGTGCTGGTTACATCTGAATTCAGAATAAACAAGAAATAACTTTTAGCATATATGTTCCAAATATTGCATAGAACATACTCAAGCTAAAAAAAAAATGTATCTTGCTTATCTGAAATTCAAATGTAACTGAGCATCCGTATCTTCATTTGCTAAATCTGCCAACCCTACATTATCAGCAAGCCCAGAATAGGGAAACCTGAATTTCCCAAAACAAAACCTAGGATATCACAAGAGAAAGAGCCTTGAAGATGCCATGGAATAAGAGCTCCTTAATACGGTTAAGGCTGACACAATGAGATGAAGGTACTAAGGTGCACTACAGAAGACCTGACCTCGGTCAACCGAGCCAACTTTGGACCCCAGCTCCCGCTCAGACGTGCTGCTTCACCTCGGCAAGGCACTTCCCTTCCCTGGGGGTCAGTGGGCTCCTCTTCAGGTAGGGGCGGGGTTTCTCAACCCCAGCACTACTGACGTTTCGGTCCAGGCAGTTCTTTATGTGGCTGCTATCCTATGCATTGCAGAATGCTAAGCTGCATCCCTGGCCTCTATCCACCGGGTGCATGCAGTACCCCACCCCAACTATGCCAAATGCCTAGGGGAGAGAAGAGCAAAGTCACACCTAGTTAAGAACCACTGGGTTAAGTGACTACAGGTCTTGGGTTTCTGCCATCTTTAACAGTCAATAATTTTGCAGTTTATACATGGGTTTATGGAAAAGATGCCTCTTAAATATCCAACTCCCATAATGAGTCCAACAGGGAATGTAAATGATCAAGGTTTGATTACATGTAAACTTTTAAAACATGTACCCCTACCTCGCCCTCTTTATCCTCATTCCAGCATTCAGAAATTGGTCTAGCTGGTTTCTAATAAGTGGCTCGAACTCTCTGATGATTTTGCAGGCAACAACAACTTGATAATACTAAAAAAATGAAATGGTCATTGCCTTGATTGAAAGTGGCACTTTATTGGGACTTCTCAGGAAAGTACAGTTTTTATCAGTTTGATGTTAATATTACTACTACTGATAGCTATTATGTATTGAACACCTACTACATACCATGAGCACATGGGGTTCTGTCATTCAATAATCACAACAGCCCTAGGAGGTTGGTGCTGTGCTTATTCACATTTCGCAGTTGAAAAACAGGTTCTGAGAAGTAAAGCAATTTGCCTAAGGTCACAGAGTCTGCCAGACCCCAGAGCCTGTGCTCTTTCCACCTCAGAGACACTCTACTTACACACAGTTTCCACAGGGAGCAGCAAAGTTCACTCCTCCCTGGGTCTCGGCCTTCACCTCTAGGATCCATATCTCCAGGAATTACATGAGGCCAGCAGGCAAAGCAATCCAACCGACGTGTTGCAGGCACATTTCTCATTCGAGACTACACAGGACACCAGTCCTTACAGGACTGCTACATACAGACAACAAACTGGCTTGTAAATGTTTCTTGATGTTGCTTTCACCTTGAACCACTTTTTTGTAACTCTGGGGCTACTGCATAGTCAGACTCACAGTAAGACCCACTCATTCAATAAATACGTGCTAAATGAATACTTGAATGATCCCCCATTTCAAACATGTAGACACTGGGGCCCACCTCTTTCAATGCAAGACATTATCTAAAGGAAAACTATCTCTAGTTCTCAGGTTTTGTTTTCCCTGCGTCCAAAATTTCCCACAATGCTGATTCACTTTTTTTTCCTTTAACTTACTCTTAGGATCCCACATTCTTGTTTGTATAATTCTTGAATGGAAAATTGATTTTGTGTGACCCAGTTGCCTGCTGGCCCAAAGGACTGGCCCAGGAGACCACTGAAGAGTTTCGGAGCCTGGTTCTGGAATAAGGACCTGGAAAATCGCGTGTCTATGCCCTCAGTTACTCGGTCACCTTGAATGGGACTGCCACACTGTTTCGTGGCCCAGTTTCCCCCTTGGACAGCACACTGAGTAAGATTCCCCCCACGGCATGCTATTATTACCTGGCACAACAAGGAATGAGGCCACTGCTACAATGAGGCCATCCCGCCCTCCAAGATTCTTCAAAATTCTGCTCCTCAGTGCAGGACAACAGGGCAATGTAGGGCAGCAGCTCCAATGTGGAGAGAACTGGAGGTTGGAAGAGGTCATCTCGGGGTGACCCAGTAATCACCACTACAGGACACCCAGCAACAACAGGAAGAACCACAGAACAAAAGGGTGCAAACTGTGGGCCTCACCCTATGGGGAAATGGGTTTAAAAATCATACGCAAACACATACACACACTGCACACCACCAGGGAGTCTAATTTTAGTAGCCATTCGTCCCAGCAAAGCACTTTGCAAGCAGTTATTTTGAGAAATGCTATTAGCCATTGAGTTATTTTTAATGCCCCTTGTGTGACAGGCATTTATGACACAAACAGCAGCTGAAAGGCTGTACGTTCGTAGCCCTGGATATGTTCAGGACCCAGGGGACAGCCCCTTGGGATGTCCCAAGCCTGATCCAGATGAAGAGAGAGCATCTTGTGTACCCTGCTGAGCCTTCCCTCACTGCCTAATGTGCTGTTTGCCAGAAACGGGCAGCAGGATTTCAATGAGCCAGAAGCCTCTCTGCTCCATGACAGCCGATATGCTAATGACAATCCTCAGTGCCTGTCCATGGCCTGCAGGTCAAAATTCACGTTGCTAATGAAGTTCCTTCATAAGTTGTCCCCAACTCTGTGTCCTTGGATAGACTCTATTCCTAACACGCAGCCTCCTTGCTCTCTACCATCCCACCTTGTCCCCTCTGCCCAAGCTGACCCCCTCACTCAGAACAGACCCCTTCTCATCCCTTGTAACCCCCTACTGAGCCTCAAGATTTGAATCCCTGTAATGAAAGAGCTAGATCACCTCCTTGGCATTCCACACCTAACAGCTAATTTTTGGTCACCCATGCACGTGTATTTCTTATTGAAATCGTTGCACTCATGGAGTGCTTAAGATGCACCAGGCATCATTCTCAGTCTTTTACAAAGCTCAAGGAACTCTTCTGAGGGTCCTTTTCTCAGAAGAGGAAACTGAGACATAGGGAAGTTGCCCAAGACTTCATCGCAGGTAGGTCTCTAGGCAAGGTCAGTGACAAGGTGGCTAAAGTCACAGATTCAGGAGCCCAAGTGCCTGGGTCACACCCCAGTTCTGCGTCTCAGAACCACAGACAAGTTTCTCGGAACTCGTCTGTGCCTCAGTCTTTCACTGAATTCTTAAGAGAGAATGAGTTAATTCTTGTATAGTCCCTTCACAGGTGCCTGGCACACAGTGAACAGTATCTAGGAGTTCTCTCTTATGGCTATGGAGATGTGTAGCCAGTGTGGTTTAAGCTAAGATTTACTGGGTCCCTACAATGTGCCCTACACTACACTATAGCATTCTGCACAGACTATCTTGTCTGAAGCTCACAAAACCTTGTAAAAATTTGCAAAGAAACTGACCTTAGAGAAGTGAAATCATTCACCTAAGGTCAGAGCCAGTAAGTGGAGACTGGAACAAGGTAGTTGAACACAAGTCTGAGTTTACTAACCCAAATCCTTTGCTGCTTGTCTTGTCTCCCTGGAAATTAATTGTGTCTTCAGATTCCCCACAGTTCCTGGCACTCGGTCAGGCTCTTTAAATGGACTCAATAACGACTGCAGGCTTCTGGCAAGGCTTCCTAAATGCAGAGCCTTGGCTGCAGATCAGGAGTCCCTGGTCCCTCCTAGGGCACCCGTGGCTTATCACCCCCTTCTCGACTTCATCCCAGGGGAGGTACAGGTGCTTTGAAAGCAGAAGTAAGGCAGCAGAACACTCAGGGAAGTCCCACCAAGGGCCAGGGCCTGGTGTTCGGATGGCAACAACCTGTCCACGGGGACTCAAGGCCCAAAGGTCAGGAATTTGGTACTGGCTGGCCAGGGCAGGCATCACTGGAGTGCTGGGGGAGATGTTCAGAATTGTAAGGCATCAAGCGTGAGCTGGAGGAAGGATGGGAGGGAGAACGCAAGCCCAACTGAGCAAGTATGTGCGAGTGAATTATGTGTGTGGTTCAATTTTAGGCACTGGGCAGATTTACAAAGCTCATCACCCTCCTAGAGTTGCCTGCAAAAGGCCACACATTTAACACCATGCCAATCAATCAACACAGGTGCACCGGGTGGAGAATGCATGCCCTGGGAGCCCAGGGGATGCAGGGAAGCAAGCATCCCTGTCCCCAGTGGATCATGGCCTTAAGCAAGGACACAGGCTGCCACCCACGGGAACATTAAGGGGACTGTTAAACACTGACCTCTGATGTGGTGCCAGTCGAGTTACTGTATTCCTTGTGAATCCCGTAAACACCAGAGGACCTCTGTGTCTAGCTCTGCTGTGGATAAAACAATGAGTCCATCCCTCCACCCCAGAATCTCGGTTTCCTTCCCTGCACAATGCGAGTGATGCTAATAAGACATCGCACGCTGGCCTGCTGAATGAGGCTGAAGAATGCGAACCCTGTGCAAATGTCAGCTTGCCTCGTGCAAGGCTGAACAAGACAAGGCTTTGCCTTCAGGGAGCTGATGAGTAATACAAAGAGGACAGAATGAAACATTCAAAAGATGATAACCACAACACCGGGTTGGGTGGATAAACACACAACCAGCCACTCAGAATGGGATAACCATGGCAGAGGGCTGTAAATGCCGATGAAAGTCACCGTGTTACACTTGACTTTGAAAATTGGCCTCTGTTCAGTCTGGGGCCTTACCGCCAGACCATAAGCTACCAGAAATGGGGTCCCTATCCTCACTACTAGACCCTCCTTAGCTTCAGGGTGGGGGCAGGGTGGGCACCTAGGACATTCCTAAGGAGGGCTGTTGAGGAGGCTGGCCCAGCTACCTGGCTGGCCTCACTTAGCACACACATTCCCTGGCAGGGTAGCCTTTCCTG